GTGTTCCTGCCAGTGGTCGTGTAGAAGGGGCCTTAGTCTAACACTAAAATCGCTACATTAAGTTATTTACCTCTTTTTCTGGATTGCACTATTTACCTCTTTTTCTGGATTGCACTTGCACTCATTTCATATAGAGCAATGACTTTAAGGGAGAGACTGGAGATTCTAACTGCTTCACAGACTACAGGACTTTCAACACATTCAACAATCAAGACAGTCCATTAGTTTACTGTGACAGCGGACCACCAAAGGAGACTTCAGCAATAAGAGTACTATCATTCCCAAGGTGAGAGAGTGTTAATAGAAAACCATATTTTAAAACATTTATGGTATTTGCTACATAACAGTTGAATGTCTTAAGACACAGATAAAATAACATGTCCAGTAATGCAAAGGGCATTGACACAATACTGCCCCCGCCCAAAACAACTATAGATGGGAAGGCCTGGATAAAACCAGGAATTGGGGGGGGGGGTCATCCTGTTCCCTATTCCCCCCCCCCCAAATAATTCTTGTTTTTTTTCCAGGACTTCTCATCTCTAAACCCAACTACACTTATCCTTTAATTTCCACAGGGTTAGGGGTGCATGATGTCAGCAAAAATTGAAAAAAGCACATCTATATTAAGAAGCACACACACGGGTATGCATGCTTATCTAGTTTGCAGATGACACCAAATTAGAAGGGCTAGTGAATATTCCAGAGAACAGGATCAGAATTCAAAATGACCTTAACAGATTAGAGAGCTGGGCCAAAATTAGCAAAATTAATTTCAACCAAGACAAATGTAAGATACTACACTTAGGCAAACAAAAAAAATGCACAGATACAGCATGGGTGACTTGACAACTGTACATGTGAAAAAGATCTTGGAGTCTTAATGAAGAGCAAGTTGAACATGAACAAACAATATGATGCTGTCGCTATAAAAAAACCAATAAGATTTTGGGCTGCATCAAAAGGAGTATAATATCTAGATCAAAGGAAATAATTGTGCCCTTCCATTCTGCTTTGGTCAGACCTCACCTGGAATATTGTGTCCAGTTCTGGTCACCACAATTCAAGAAAGATATTGACAAGCTGGAAGGTGTACAGAGCCAGGTGACAAAAATAATAAAGGGTCTGGAAACCATGACCTACGAGGAGTGGCTTAAAGAGCTGGATATGTTAAGCCTGCAGAATAGTCGGTTGAGGAGATTTGAACACCATGTTTAAGTATTTGAAAGGATGTCATAAGGAAGAGGAGCAGCCTTGTTTTCTGCTGCCCTGGAGACTAGGACTCAGAGCAATGTGTTCAAATTACAGGAAAGGAGATTCCGCCTGAACATTAGGAAGAACTGCCTGACAGTCAGAGCTGTTCAACAAAGGAACTCTCAGCCCTGGAATGTGGTGGAAGTTCCAGCTTTGGAGAAATTTAAACAGAGGGATGCTGGATTGTCTCTTCCAACTGTGATTCTGTGACCCCCCCCCTCCCCATTTCTGTGCAGCATCATATTTGCTTTTCAGATGCACAAACTTCTTTTTGGACAATGCTCATTGAACAGGTTTGGTTCTGGTCAGTTCTGGATGTGTGTATGTGTGTGTGACTGCCTACACAAGGACATCAAGTTAGATATGATTCAATATACAATATAAAATTCACACTATCCCTCATCATAATGTCATTAAATATTTTCAAAGGAACAAATAAATTTGAAATCTTTGGAAAGTTCTCATTTGTTGATTTAACTGGGAAGCATTTTGTGTATATACACTGTAATTTCAAAACTGATAGTTTTTACTGTATTCTGTTCCCACAGTCCAAGACACAGCTCAGCCAAGTATTCATTTGACTAAATTCTTGGGTCACATACCTAAAAATATTTTTCTGACAATGTGTCATTTACAAGTAACAGAAAAATGTTCTCAGCACATTTACTGCTGTACTAAAAACAAACATAAGGAACATAAGGTTGTTCCACATATGCACCATGGGTGTCTCTAGTACCCTTATTATACAAGGTAATCACAATTCCATCATCTAGACAGTAGAAAGTCCAATCCCTCATCCTTTTTCACAGTGTGCAACTCAGTAGTGGTCAAAATCTGACACTTTGGCCCTACACCTCCAAAGTTATTCAGACAGGTACTTTAATGAATTACCATATGGCTACTGCAACATTTTAAAGTTGTTATCTTGGGTGTCAGTTTGTATTAATATGATGCCCTTAATTACATCACATACAGGGGGCATACAATGCTCCACACAGATAATGGAAATGTGATGATTCATTTATAAGTAGAAATATGAATTTATAGCACTTCAGTGGAATAGTACTGTAAGACCATTATGTTGCATATAGGAGCTTTTTCATTTATATTAACCTTCAACGTATTCCAATGAATACATAAACAGACATTATCTATATTTTAAAGAATCAGTTGCTGAAATCAAGGGCAAGTGTTACCACTACCAACAGCATAATTAACCTAAAGGCACTAGATGCCACAGAATCTTAGAAGACAAACAGGATTAGCCTAAATTAGTACTTCAATGAGAGACCACCAATGAATACTAGATGAAGTAAGCTATATTTCAGAGGAACAAATCCACAAAACCAATCTCTATTCCTTCCCTAACAAATCCATATGAAATCCATGGGCTTGCAATAAATCAACAAGCAAAGCACATATACACACCTACATACATGCGCACGCACACATTAACACCATTATACTGAAAAGCATTCTCATTATAGGAAATATTGCTTAGACATTGTAAAAGGGGGAAAGGATGTATACTTATACCTTTTGATTGATAAATCTATAAATAAAAAATGGAGAAGGAATTGTGGGAGCTGAAGTACCAAATATCTGGAGGACCAAAGGTTGGGAACCGCTGCTCTAGACCATGAACAATAAGATCTAATTATGGCAATGGAAAGAGGAAGCAAAGAGAGCAGCAGATGCTGTGATGACTGGTGGGTGACAGCAAATGCCACTCCTGTCAGTAAATTAAGATGCCATGTTAATTAACAGCATTCCCTTCTGACAGACATGGCTTTCACTGACACCCTCTGGCCTCACTGCATCACAGTTGAAAAAGGACTCACACCAGTGAGATTTCCCCAAACAATCATCACCAACAGGATTCCAAATATTTCCACTAGCTGATACTCACATTTGTAGGAAAATGTTTCAGAGCTGTAGAGGAGGGCTTAAAAGCACCCTCTTTAAATATTTAAAGACCAAGAGGTTTCAAGACAGATTTCTCTTTCCCCAGGCACAACTCGGGTTACCGAATTTATTTTACCAAGTCAGAAACTGACTTTCCATCCCTCCCACACCTTTCAAGACTATGAAAAGCAAGAGCAACAAAACAAGTAGTGCTGCAAATTTCACTGATCTCTGTACACTAGCAGATTTTTTTTATTTTTGACATTTCTGTGTTGGGTCCTGGAAGTCATTCTTTGGAGTAGTCTACTCCTGAAGATATAGTTGTATCAGCAAAATGTGCACAGAATTGTTTTAACTTTCATTGTTCAATTGGTCCCATTATCCCTCATGAAAAGTAATTTGTATCTGAATAATCATTTTAAGCGCCAACCCCTGCATGAACCTTCTCTCAATTCCTGCATTTGTTTTTTTCTTGTTCTTAATATCAATAAACGGAGTAATTCTCCTCCCCAAAGGAAATATTACTTAGTTGTAAGCTCAGCTGCAGAAATGTCCCCCATGTGAGTAAGATTAAATACTGTAATGTAGTCCCAATTTTAATACTAGAATTTTTATAAATCCAACGTCAAAAATGTAAGAACACATTCAAACGTAAAATAGTTCTCATTTACAATATGAAACAATTTTGAAAATTAACTTACAAAAACATTGTGTTCCAAACAGATACAATATATAATAATGCTGTTCTGAGGGAGAAATGCCTCTAGAACATGGCCCTATAGCCCGAAAAAACCCACAAGAACCTAGACTCTATTATTTTATTTGGTATCATTTATCAATTGCTATAAAACACATTATCATCACCTGACATGAAATACTTGGGATGTTCCATTCAAAAAAGGCAAAAGTCACATCTATGACAGTAATAATAATAATAATAATAATAATAATAATAATAATAATAATAAAACAACTTTATTTGTATCCCGCCTCATCTCCCTGAGAAGACTTAGCGGCTCACAACTATATAATTATACAAATCATCTTGACAACAGCACACATAAATATATCCAATTTAAATCAACAGTTAATAATGAGGCAAGCAATATAAAAATAAAGCAGCATTATAAAATTAACATAAACAGCATTCATTAAAAATCCCAGCCACTGTTCAAGTGAAAAGGGACAATAAGATCCAATTTTAGATGTATCTCATATCTCCAACGTTTGGATGACATTAAGTTTACCATTTTCAAAAGCCTGTTTGAATAGTCAGGTTTTCAGTTCCTTCCAGAAAATGGGTAGCGTGGGGGCCTGTCTAATCTCCCTGAGGGCGTTCTAGAGCCGAGCAGGGGGGCACTACTGAGAAGGCCCTCTCCCTCATCCCCACCAACTGCACTTGTGACAAAGAAGAAGCTGTGAGGAGGGCCTCCTTGGCAGATCTTAAAAAGGCTGAATCCGAACCATTACTAGAGATGGCTTGCTATAGATGGGACATGTAATACAATGCATAAAATGCTTAACTTCCTCAATAATGTAAAGTATAAAATTATTCCTTTCCCCACCACTAGTTTTTGACATAGGCAGGCAGAACTGTGTGTAAACTGTGTGAAATTACCCTCATGGGTAATTTCTGACTTTAAATTCCTAAAATCATGTGCCAAAAGATCCTGAATTTATTTTGATGTAACATACAGGTAACAAGACAAAGATTATTCTGAGAGCATTTTAAGTTATTAACAGATCTATAACGTACATTAAAATAGGCTACACAATACACTGGATTTTATAACAAATATATGTCAAGATATGGTTTTTAAGATGCTACAAGCAGACCAACTTACCAACTCTATTCCTTGTGGAAAAGGAGTGTCATCCAAATCCTTTAATGGAAATCTCTGAATAATCTTCCCCAAACCTTCACCGGATCCTACAAAAGGACAAAGTAAGGGAGGGAGAGAGAGAGAAAATAAGCTCCTGGAATAAGACATATATAATATTGATTACACATACCCTAAATTACCATTGAAGCTTTCAGAGTTTAAGGCACCAATTCAGGTAAATACTTTCAAGGTATCCACTTTGGTTTACATACAACTTTTGACACTGAGATCCACAGAATATGTGACATATGCTCCTACATATAAACATAATAAAATTAAAGAAGTATTTAACATAATATTGTGACCATCACGAAAAGTTTTTTGGCCAATTATTGTTAGTATGCTTCCAGTGTGAAGTCATTATGCTTCAGTTATCCCATGATTTGTTAAAATAAGAAATGAAATTACCCCTCTCCCCCCCCCCCAGCATTTTAAACACCCCATGTAGTAGAGGATTAGGAGAAAAATATAATTCAAATTTTTATCCCTTTATACTTTCATTTGAAAATGACAAGGTATCTATCTTCATAATTGATGAGATATCTAACTTCATAATTAAAACAAATTTCAAGGTACTCTTCAGCTACCATATCACTTGTTTTTTAACTTTCAATGTTTAGAACTTAGAGAAAATTAAATGCCACAAACGGAGGTCAAAGGTGTGTTCACGTTGTAACATATCATAGGTAATGCCACTTCAAAGAGTTTGCACAATGTCTGATCATATTCTCTTATAACTAATACCGATCTTTGTTTTTAGACAATGCCTTTTTAGCACATTACATACACAACACCAATAAATCAAAACTTCATTACAATTCAAGAAAGGCTGCTCTCTTAAAATATTTATCTCACCCTCTAGTGCAATTAAACCCCATTGTTTTGTCCCACCTGAACCCCCTTCTAGATACATTATACTACTTATCTCACCTAGAGTTTTTAAACATTTTAATCTTTGCAACCGGCCCTGCCCATCGTGATCGACTATTGTGATTTTATTTTGTATTTTATGCTTATCTTGTATCACTTTTTATTTTTTAATATCTTTATTATATTTTATTGACGTATTATTTTACATTGTATATTTGCTTTGATGTAATTGTTGGGTTTGGCCTCATGTAAGCCCCCCCCCCCCCCCGAGTCCCCTTGGGGAGATGGTGGCGAGGTATAACTACATTATTATTATTATTATTATTATTATTATTATTATTATTATTATGCATCTCTTTGCCTCATGGGTGCAAGCAGTGGAAGCGTAAGAACAATTTTCACCCCTTGTAAGTCTGCAGCCATGTGACACTGGAAAACCAGAAGTGATATCACCTCACTTCTGGTTGTACCTTTTTACAGGGTCTGTGAAGTAACAATAACAGAACATTTGGGGGCAGTATTAGAGTGGGCAAGAATCACCAAAAATAAAAATGCAAGTTGGAAGCTTTGGCAGTGCATCTTGTTTTGTACCATCCTCCAACCATCTTCCAACAACTGTTGATCTGATTTATAAGCAAATTCTATGCTTATATTTCAATGGATTTTTATGTTCCAAAAGGCCCGTCTACAGGCCACACTGCTATATTTTTACAGTACTAATTTTTTTAAAAAAACGCTTGCTTGCCTATTTTTATGGATTAACCTAGATGCAGTTTACAAAAAACCTTCTTAGAACATATTGGGAAATTCAAGCTACACAAAATGCAACGGACTACACAGGAAAGAAAAACTGCTGTGACAGCAAACTACAATGTTAACTTTGTGTTTCTATCATTTCCTGTTCACTTATGCTTTGCTTCTATGCAAATCATTGTAACTTAAATTGTGCTTGTCACAGTTCCCATATGGTTTCAATTTTGCCACTGCAGATCGGATACTGCCTAAAAGCATACAGTATTAGTAAGAACTGAAGTGAATGTCAAATTTGCTGTATTGCATAGCATACAGATTGCATATCCATTATCCAAAATGTTTGGGATCAGAGGTGTTCCTGGTGACCATCTGCAGTCTTGATCCAGAGGAGACCAAATTGGGAGGGATAGCCAATACTCCAGAGGACAGGAGCAGGATTCAAAATGATCTTGACAGATTAGAGAGATGGGCCAAAACTAACAAAATGAAGTTCAACAGAGACAAATGCAAGATACTCCACTTTGGCAGGAAAAATGAAATGCAAAGATACAGAATGGGGGATGCCTGGCTTGAGAGCAGTACGTGTGAAAAAGATCTTGGAGTCCTCGTGGACAACAAGTTAAACATGAGCCAACAATGTGATGTGGCGGCAAAAAATGCCAATGGGAGCATAGTGTCTAGGTCCAGGGAAGTAATGCTACCCCTCTATTCTGCTTTGGTTAGACCACACCTGGAATATTGTGTCCAATTCTGGGCACCACAATTCAAGAGAGATATTGACAAGCTGGAATGTGTCCAGAGGAGAGCGACTAAAATGATAAAGGGTCTGGAGAACAAGCCCTATGAGGAGCGGCTTAAGGAGCTGGGCATGTTTAGCCTGAAGAAGAGAAGGCTGAGAGGGGATATGATAGTCATGTATAAATATGTGAGAGGAAGCCACAGGGAGGAGGGAGCAAGCTTGTTTTCTGCTTCCTTGGAGACTAGGACGCGGAACAATGGCTTCAAACTACAAGAGAGGAGATTCCATCTGAACATGAGGAAGAACTTCCTGACTGTGAGAGCCGTTCAGCAGTGGAACTCTCTGCTCCGGAGTGTGGTGGAGGCTCCTTCTTTGGAAGCTTTTAAACAGAGGCTGGATGGCCATCTGTCAGGGGTGATTTGAATGCAATATTCCTGCTTCTTGGCAGGGGGTTGGACTGGAAGGCCCATGGGGTCTCTTCCAACTCTTTGATTCTATGATTCCATGATTCTATAAGAGTCCCATGTGAAACATCCATGTGATAAAATCCAAAATCCAAAACACTTCTAGTTATTATGGATAAGATATATTCAGTCTGTATCATGTTTATGCATAATATATACCTTGCTCATTTACTCTCAAAGAGTGAGTAGACAGATAAGGAATGAGGTCTTTAACTATTTATGCAGCTGTTTCTCTCTCATTCAGGAATGGGACAGAAAGATCAAAATTAAATGAAGAAATTCCCCCCATCATCCAGCATGATACTTGGTGCAGCAATATAATAAAACCCACCCATTCAAAGCAAATGTAGTTAAGGGATGCATTTTCGCTACTACTTTTCACTGACTTTCTCAACTCTAAGTGAAACTGCAGCAAACTGCTGGTGTAGTTCAGTGATCGTTTTTCTTTCTTCCCACATTAAAGCACTATAGTCCTTTAACGTTAAGAGAAGAAGGAAAAAATTAAACAGTATGCCTGCACACAGCTATTGCATTAATCCCTCTTGTCTCCTGTGTGGAATGTGTAGCACAGGCTCAAGTTGGCTGACTCTTCTGGAATTGAGAGAGAGAAACACCAATTTGGGATAATGCCCTGCCAGAAGATGGGGGAAAGGTTAGAACTGGGAGCAGAAATAGACTATAATTTAGCAGGAAGAAACAACTGCTTGTCACTTCTTACTTGTAAGCTTGCTTCAAGACAACAAAGTGGAGCTACTCTTTTTCAGTGTAGCCAACCAATAATAAAACCAAATCAAATCAAATCAAATTAGAATACCCAGTGTGATATCTGCATTTCCTTTCTAAAATCCAGCACAGTACACCTTTAAAAAAAAGAAAACTTCACAGCAATGCCCACAATACATTCTTCTAATACTTGAAATTTCCAGTGGCCTCTTATTAGTCTTCAATTATCAGCCACATGCAGCCAACTCAAAAATAAACTGCAATAAAATTCCTGGCTCTCATAAATTCATTGGGTCACTGACTTTAACAATCTTAAACTGGCTTCTATTGAGTCCTTCAATTATCTGCTGGTCTTTGGCTTTCTGGAATCGCAATTACATCATTTCTCCTAGGTTGTAAATATGTACACACATATGTGATTTCACATTTTTAGACATGGAAACATATGCAATCTTAGCAGAAAACATTTCATTAGAAGCATATGATTTTTTACTATAACTATCAAGGTTTCATGTTCAGTAGAGACTGATGGCAACCAACAAAAATATTTCATAAATATTGGAAGGTCACATTCCAAAGACTTATTCACTGTAAAATCAGTTTCTACTCAGACTAATTTTCACCCAGATTGTAGTTTTATATTAATGAAATCTTTAAAGCATACATTTATTGAAACATTCCCAAATAGAGTGAATCAAAAGCAATCTTTCAGATCACCCCCCATTATAATATTTAATGATATATTATTTAAATATCTCATTGAAATACAGAAAAATTGAGGAAGTTATGGATCTATGTCAGATTTATGAATGATTCTCGAACATGTGCACATATAAAAATCATTTCTCTCTCTTCCAGGAGGTGTAATACAAGAACAGAATCATGTAATCCTATTTTATGCATTTTGAATAAGTACCTTGTTTTACTAATTTGATAGTGTTTATTTAATTGTAGTTATTGATTGTACAGAGAAAAACAATAACTTTGAAAAGAACAATAAAAGTAGCGCCACCTTCTATAAGCCCAGCAATTGATGAAAGGTCTTTCCTCCATCTGAAATGCCATGGTTTTGGTCTCAGAAGGAGAAAATAACAGGAAGTATCTGCTTGATTTCATCCTCTTCATCAATGTTATTCCCTTTTCTTTGTGTGCTGTGCCTTATGTAGGAAGAGAGTAGGGAACTGTTTAAATTAATAATTTGTAAGCCATTCTGGGAGCTTATTTGACTGGAAAATGGGGTATACACATTCTAAACAAATACACAAATAACTTTCCTACTATTGCTGAACAAGACATCATGTCTAATTGTGACATTTGTGGCATACAGCAAAACAAGTCTAGCCCACTCTGTCCAGTCACGGCTAATTTAATCTCTTTGATTCCAAAGCCGTATTCTTAAGGACAGCTAATCCTGGAGGGCAGAAGGAAGGGTAACAAAGACCTCCCCCCCCCCCTTTACATTTAAAGAAGGATTCCATCTACTAAAACTCTTAAGTCC